ATGCCTCGTCGTAGGCCATACACAACTGAAGCGTCGTCGTCGACAAGCCGTGGCAACCCTCCCGAAAGCAGCTCGCAGAGAAGTCGCCGATCCTACAGTCAATCGGTTACAAGGAACGAAAAAACGGTAAGAAACCGATTTCTTCATCATGGATCTTCTTGTCACACTTTTTTTCAGGGCGGACGGTCTGAGACTGTTACTGCTGAACGTGAAGCACTAAGCATCCTACAGAATTTGGAAAGCTTTTTTGGATTGAAAACCACTTCGATCGGTAGTAGCAGGCCGGCAGATAGCAGGGCTGGAACAGATTGGTTCGTTTTTGAGCATACTTATACTTACCTGTGATCCAGAAGATGAATGAGCCCTATTGTTGAATAGGCCGTGAATACCAAAGGCTCGGTGGTTCCACCTTCCCCTGAAGGTGGTGGTAATGATGACGCGGTTGTGCCTAGGTGGGATACAAATCTTCGGAGCATGGCTGCCCAACTGATGAACGCGACTGTATGTAGGACCTCAACCTTTTCCGTAAGTGTCTCGAAGTGAAACCCTGTGACTATGGTAAATGAAGTCGACCTTATGACTACACTGAAGTTGACGGATGTGGGAAGCAGTCATAGTTGAAAAGCTTGGACTTTTCGTTGTAAAATCTGACCACAACGAGGATCTATAGGCGAACTGTAAGACCACGGTAATAGGGTGGGAGGTCCTTTTCTCAAAGCCAGCGGCGATTTTGAGCTAGTTGTGTGGTTTCGAGGCACTATTTCATTGCATTTGATAGTAGTCTCGTAGTGCGCCACTTTTAACTCGGGTGAATTAGCTAGTTGACTCGCAGGACGGCGTGCCATTTAAAACCACCGTCAGTCACCACCTACGACATCTGGAACATGACAAGTGAATCGAAAAAAAAAACTTTTCTGCGCTTTTTTCTTCTTTTCCTTCCACCGTTGCAATTCTTCGCAAATTATCATTCAATTCCAGTTGTTCTTGTTGTTATACCACCATGTGCTCGAGTTGTCATAATCGAAACGATAGTGAGTCCACAGGTTCAACTGCACGCCTTATCTGTTACTGCCCTGGTAGGTACCTCAAGAAATTTCAAAAAAACTTCCTTGAGGTCTAAGATCACCTCCTCTTTCGTTTGTCAACTCCCTAGTTAGTTACTATAGCCTGGAAAAATCAGAGTTACTAAGATCACAGGGTCATTAGTATGCCCATTTCAGAATGCCGAGGATCGGACGTGACTCAAGATCTCTTCAGGTATGCACTTGATTTTCTATCTGAAAAATCGTCAAAAGGGCGAATGAGCTACGCTTCCGGAGAATATGAGGTCGTCTTGCTGTTTTTCTTGAGAATTCCATGGTAACTGAACTGAGTAGTGGGAACCAGGGATGAGATGAAGTAGTGCCAAGTTGCGCAAGACCACACGCATGGTTTGGGATGGGATTCTTGGGTGAAACTCAACCAGGCCAAGTACACCTTCCGTCCCACCAGGGTCGGTTCATTTGTACCAGTCTTGACTGCTTGGATAAAAAAATTGGCTTCTAATAGCCTGGCACCTGCAGTTCACTGTATGGGCAACATGCTCCTTCAAACGCGACAACGATTCCTACTGGAGGTCGAATAAAGGGCGCGTTTCGAAACTGTACCGAATGACGTCGGAGAATCTCTCTTTATTCTTCAACGGAAATTTCAGATCAGCTAAGTTTCGCGTTGGCAGCCAATCTACTGGCTCTACTGCAGAGCTTATATGTTATTGCCCTGGTGAGTATGGGCCTACATCAATATTTACCCTTTTTCCGTTTTCCCCACTTTCGGAATTTTCCCTGGATTTTCTTGTCCTTGCCTTCGACGGTAGTTTGATGTCATGAACACGAAATTAGCATCCATTAAACATGAAGAGGGTTTACGCTGTCACATGAGTGGAACATCATTTTACGCCATAGGAAGTGCTAAGACAGGCTAGGCAGGCGTCAGGCTCTGCCAATCTGTCGCATAAACTTAATTTTCGGTGGGCCAAAGCATCTTGGGGGTAAATTTTCAAACAATTTGTGTCCGACCGAAGTTTGTGGAAAATTCAGTTAAAGTTTTGAAAATTAGAATTGTGCAGAGTGAAAGTGCCTGTTTTCTTGTGACGAACTGGGGTCATCAGCTCTTTCAACCTTGAAAATCTGTGAAAAAAAAACAAAAAAAAACATCTGAAAGACATGTATAAAATATACAAATTGACATGTATAATAAATTGCCTATTACAGAATGTCGTGGCTCCAAAAACGTTCAGGACCCCTCCAGGTATTTGTTTTTTCCAGAAACTCTTGAAAACTGGTATAGACTATTAATTTTCAAATGACTTCCAATTGCTATCTGAATTTCTATCAAAATCTCATCTCAGAATTCAATTAGAACTTCTGTTTTAGGTGGGACCAAGGTAGCTCAAATGTAATTTTCAGTCCTGAGACGCCCTCCAAAAACGAGCCTTCCAACAACGAGTCTACAGGTTCAACTACACAGTCTACCTGTCACTGTCGTAGTGAGTAGTGTTCACAGTTCCTCTATGTTCCTCTAGCTCCTCTGTATGAAGGTTGTGCTAACAAAATCCTGAATTTTAATCCGAAGTCGGCTTCCACTTGACTAGAAAAGACCTGTCGTGGGTAAAACATAAGCTTGCGTCCATACTTGAAGCGCCAGGCGTCAGCTTCAGCAGGGGTCATCGAAAGATTCATCTGAATCGGTCAAGCTATTTTCTAGAGTGAATTCCTAATAAATACAGTCCAAAAGGGTGTTCGTGAATAATCAGCTACTGCGAAAATTCGATGGCGGATATTGAAAACAATATTCGGATTTTCTATGACATTACAAAGTTACCAGCCCTTTAAACCTCAAAAAGTCACTTATAAATTGGGCAAGGACTTTGCAACGGTGATGCGTAATTTTTCAGAATGCAGTGGCTCGAAGAACGTTCAGAAACTTCCAAGGTACCTTTTTCGAAAGAAAACTTCTTTTCTTTCCCAATACTGCAATATACTTATTCATTCTCGGTTGTAATTTCAGTCCAAAAATTCCCTCTACCAGCGAATCCACCGGTTCAACTACACAGCCTACCTGTAACTGTCCTAGTAAGTCAGGTTTTCTGATTCCGTAAATAGAAGTCAAATTTCATATGAAAACTGGGTTAAAAATATACTGAGTTTCGTTATCGAAACTAGTTTGACCTGGTGGATACCAAGATAGCTTCCCTTCAGCTTGAAACACCCTCCACCCGAATGGTGAAACCTCATTTGCGCTATTGAAGCGCCTTCTGCACGTAGTAGGAGCGTCAGACACTATTGAAACTAACGAACCCGGGTTAACCAACTTCTGAGGCGAAAATTCGAGCCTAATTCAACTCAAAGGGAAGTTTTTGAAAAAAACCAGCTCTTCTACGAAAGAATGGGGTTGTAGTGAGGGAAAGGTACCGGTTCTTCCTTCGAAGGCACAATTCACAAAAATAAAATCCTATCCGAGATATCTTCCTAGATAGGACTTGTGACATCCACGTATGCCATAAGGGCGCTGTTAGGTCGAAAAACGGCCCAGATATGGCGCAGCTATGACTTGAAAATTGAAGCCAATGCATGCCAAACCCAATGGCGGACGAGTTTCAACGGTTTTGTAGAGCCCGCATCATACGACATCCATGCTGGGAAATTCCATCAACTATTTGTGACCCATGGTGGCAATGAAAGGCAGTTTTGGGCACTTTTGGCTTGTTGCAGTCAGCTCTTCACGCAGATGCAACAACTGAAATCTCGTACAATTACCACTTACATAGCATTTCCGTCACAGTAACTCGTACAACTCCTGCTTTTGAACTTCGAAAAAGCCTTGTCGACTTCTGCCGGCTGTACCCTTCGTTTGCAATCGATGCACTATTCTTACCGGCACTTCCGCCTTTCAACCAAAAAATATACCTCGGAATTACTTAAACTGGGCCTTTAAAGTCACTGGCTATTGTATCTCTAGCTCAGGAGTCCATCAATCAGCTAGAAAAGTATGGAAATTTCAAAAGAACTCATGAACACTGAATTAGCAATGTTATTTTCAGAATGCAAGGGCTTGAAAAATGTTCAGAACCTTCCCAGGTACTCAATCTTTCCTTGCAGAAACTTTGAAAGATGGATGAGCAATTTACCTGCAGTGTTGCTCTGAGGGGTTTTTTTTCAAAATATTAAACTAAAAATTTATTTTTATTTTCTATTTTTAAGATAGGACTAGGACTTATATCGGTTACGATTCCAGCCCTAAGATTCCTTCCAACAGCGAGTCTACAGGTTCAACCGCAGAGCTCACCTGTCACTGCCCCGGTGAGTTACCACCCCAGTACGAATGCTGGGCTGAAAGTTTCTTGAATTTTTGTAGTTTGTCTTGATGGACCCCAGGGTGGTCCCTTTTTGGTTTGAAACGCTTTTCGCTCACGCCAAATGGGTGATACATCACCTAACACACCTGTAGTGCCATCATCTGAGCATGAACATCGCAGCCGAAACCATCGCACTTCGCGAGGAAATTTCCAGCCAACCCGAGTTCAAGGCTTCTGAGAAATTCACGAAAATAGGCTGGTGTTAAGTGAGAAATTTCACTTTTTTCATGGCGATCTAAAGTCATCATCTATTTATATTAAGCGACCTCTTTCTAAAGTACGCAAACATGCAGAGGAGAAATGGGAAAAGTAGAAGTGGTGGTCTCATGGACATTGTTTTGATCGGAAAGTAGTGCATTTAGTTTCGTCACCGCCCAATTTCGTCATCATAACTGCAAAAGAGGATATCCAAAGAAACATGAGGGGTTTAAATTTAACAAAATCGCCACTCAAATCCACCGTGAGCCGGTAACGTTTGCAAAGCGTCCTCTAAGCGTGAAGTCAAAAAATAGGTGCCATCGTTTGAAGAAGGAGGGACGGACTCTAGAAAGGTTGAGGTTGTGCCTACAATATTCACTCTGAACACCAATGGCGACCAGAGGAACCAGTAGTCGAACGGTCGATAGCAAAGATCGAATCCTGTCCTACTTGTCCGCAAGAACGGCATCTCAGTCCAAATCGTTGGCCGAGTTGTACCTCAGGAAAACCCTAAGCGACTAGAAAAGCATGGGAATTTTGAATGAAAATCATGAGCTATTGCACCTGTAATATGCATTTTTCCAGAATGCAGTGGCTCGAAAAATGTTCGGAAAACATGGAAATTCGCATTTTCTTCAAGAAAAGAAGGCTCGGGAACTAGTACAAATAATTCAAGGTTGCCTTACGCTTTTCCTCCAGTTTTTGTCCCTTGATTTAATTTTGATTTTCTTATTAGGCAATCTGATTCAGTTGTGATTTTCAGCCCCAAACCTCTCACCAAAAGCGAGTCAACTGGTTCAGCTACCCAGACTACCACTTGTCGCTGCCCTAGTGAGTGAGATTTCTCGGTGTCATTGGCCCTTTACGACCCCTTTTTGAGAAATGGGATGAAATGGGTTTTCTGGAATTTGACCTCTGACAATAGTCCGACCTTATGAACATGGAGTTGGCTTCCATTTGACTTTCACCCACGGAACGGTTGGCAAGCGCTTTCAAATGGGTGGGAAATCCTTTCATGCTTTTGAGGGGCCATTATCTATGGGACAGCATCCGCCATTGCGACCAGAAGATCGAATTTTTGAGTTAAACAAGCCAAGTTTATCCTCAAAAAATTAAAAATAAATCCATCCCAGGGGCAAAAATCGTAAAAAGGGACGTAAAGAATGGGATTACTGGTGTACCGAGCAACTTTAGGTGGTAAATAATAAATTTAGACAATAGGAATCAGGAAAGTATCGTTTTCAGAGTGCAGTGGCTCGAAAGATGTCAAAAATCCGTCCAGGTACTAAGTTTTGTCTATAAAAAACTCTCAAAAATTAATTATGTATGACTTATTGACAGATAAATTACTTTCCAGTATTTGAAAACTCATAAAACCATTTTGGCTCAATAGTGGGTGTCCTGGAACCTTCATCCAGGTCCCCTACATTGAGTGAAACAACTTTTTCGATAATATTTTTCAGGGGCAAAGTTCCTACCGATAGCGAGTCCACCGGTTCAACTGCACAAATTACTTGCCACTGCCGTGGTAAGTCCCTCTTTTCGAGATCCCCTTGCCCCTTGCTCACCCCCATTTTTTCAAAATTATGGCTGAAACTTGTTTTTACCTTCAGCCAGTAGTAATTTGATCCGCTAAATATGAATATCGAATCCATGGGACGTGGAAGTGCCTGGTACGTACGTGGAACATCAGTTTGCACTTTTGATACGCCAGCGCTTGCCATCCGAGCCAAAGGTTTCAAACAATGTTATGACCGCATCAAACGAGTCTATCTACCCCGATGCCAGTCTTTAGCGAGCCAAAAGCTGTCGATCCTGGTGGACGCGATGGTTGTTTACAGCGGGTTAAGCTCGGCTCGGAAGAAAAATTGGAGCCATTTCATTCCAATTTTTGTCATCAAGCAATCCCTTGGGGCAAAATCCGAATAAACATCTCGTTCAACTTTCAAAAAAAACGAAATTTAACAGCTAAAATTACCAGTTCACTTCAACATTCAATCCACCTGTACATCTGACTTTAAGAATCTACCAAAAAGAAAAACGGAGTGGTATAAGCAGCCAAAACCACTATGACAGATGACCAAATATACGCCCTTTTCAGAATGCAGCCCTCCAAGGCGTGCTCAAGATCGTCCAAGGTATAGTGTATTCTCTTTCTGAAGGCTGTCAAAAAGTTGGATCACGCTTTCTGTTTTCCATGAGCATTTTTTGAATGCTTTTGCTGTAGTTTTTTGAAAAAACCCTGAATTCTGTGGTGTTGAACGTTCGCATTGAATAGAGCAGTACCTTATGTAAGTAAGGGTGCAGTCCCAAATCAGGAGGGATACGTATACCAGAGCAGCTAGAAATCGGAGTGTTCCCGCCATTACCTCCTTCTGAGTTCACAAAGATTAGTCAGTCTCCTTTTTTTGCGCGGAGTGGCCCATCTTTGTAGAATTCTCAGCAATCACGACAATTCAGCGTGGGAGTACGGAACCGCCGAACCCATACATGGTGCCTCATGTCACTATCTGGTCCCGTGGCTCCAACCAGGAATGTGAACAAGGGGGTTACCGTGTCCGCCGTGAATGCTTTCTGCTTTTCTCAAGTTTGATGGTCCTTTTGAGGTTGGCGAGCTCCATACCAGCACGACCGCGAGAGTTGCATCATTCGGAAGGCCCAGTTCGACTTCAGCTTCTAACTCCACGGATCAGAGCTAATGTCAGATGATATCTGCTGCTTTCTTCTATTTGTCATACCTGATCTTCCTCTCTTTTTGGGCAGGAAAAGCAGAGTGGCAGTGACCGCACAGCTGGGCCAAGCAATTCAACTTCGCCCACACGACTGTATTTTCTTTTTCAGAACTGATAAATCCTCGGATTCTCATTCTCGCAGCCCGTCCTTGGTGCGAACCAGTGTCATCGCTAAATCTTGGTCGGTATTTCATTTCGTAAATGGCCTTCCATTTTGATAGTACTGACATCGATCTTTAGGTCATCAACTAACCCATGCGAAAAGGACGTCATCCGATACAGTACCAATCCGTCTGATTCCATGGTTTCCGTTCCAAGTTTTCATGGTGCCACAGCTAACGAATTGCTTCTCGGTTGGTTAGATGTGACTTGACTTCGTCTGGCTCACCTCTCAAAACAGGCTTTCAACTGGTTACCTACAGAATCACCTTGTAAGAAAAGCGATGATGCTTACGTGACAGCACCCAACGCAACCTCGAACACAATCAGTTTGGTTCGTGAGGACAGCCGTTCAGGAGGACGTGACTATCGAAGGCCGACCATACGCCAAATCTGCGGGCATGTGAAGTTTTCCTCTCCCCAAACCGAGTACTCTGTTCTAACTTTCAGCTCACTCCAGGCAGTTTGCATACCACGATCTATCCGATGCCACTACGACAGCTCAACCTATTTATGACCCTAAATGCCAAGGTGAACACCTCTACTCATGAAACTTACTAAAACTGGGAGCCGATGCCCGTAGACCTCCTTAGTGTGCTCTTTGGAAGACCGAGAGATTTCAGAGTGCTCCGAATCCCGATTTGCCGACCGTTTGTGTGAAACCTTAGACGAAGAGTAAGTGGACTTCTAAAAATACCTTAAATATCGTCCTTAAATATTGACGAAACTGGAGAGCTTATATTATTTACTGAAGTGATCATAAGTTTTCTGATCAGTAGTGGCTAGTCACAAACAACAGTAGCCACAATAAGTTCAGTGAATAACTTCTTCTCAGAAACTTTGTTTTCTTGCATTGCTGTCCAAAACCGAAAGGATTTCGATCATTAAGTTGCTCTTGCGTTCCCATCATTCGAACAAGTCCAGGTGGAAGTATTTCATTGATCAGCGACTCAACAGCAAAGCCTATTGCCGAAACTGGTAAGTACACTCATAGTACTTTCCCATTTTCTATTAGGCTGGATTCACATAAAAGCCTTCTGGGGAGGTTTCATGATTCGATAAGCGTGAAGTAGCAAACTCCGCCAAGGGATTGATCTCGGGAGCCATGATAACTTGGAAGCGGCGGTAGTCAGCCAATCAATACATATGCGATACACATCTACAGACAGCGGATTCCACGATGCCTTTAACCATAAACTGTGACTTTACGCCCTAGCCTAGCAGTTCCATAGCCAGTAGGTAAGGCGTCTTAGAAAAATGAGGGGGATCCTCGATATGTAGTTTGCACATTCGGGTCCCAACTACTCAGTTATTCCATGGCTGCAGAAATTAGCCCATGAAGCCCGGCTATGTCCTCTAAAAAAGAACACGAAAACATGAACAGTTGGTCCGAATAGCGGACGAGATGTTTCTCTGGCAAGCCGGTAATGATTCACACATTCTAGGGTTTTCCGTAGTAGGACTTAGTCCTCACCAATACCTCCCTTCATAAGCCTGCCAAGCTCCCTTCAAACATTATTTTGTTAGAATGTATCAAAAAATCAGGGACCTAGGTCCTGTTTTGACTGCGTCCCAAATGTTTCTGCAAATGTAGCTAGTCTAGCAGGTTTCAGAGCGAATTTGGGGCAGGTAATTAAAGGGACCAGTCCCTATATAACTGAAAGGTCATCGGGAAAGTACAAAAGGTGATAAACGACGAACTTTTTCACACTGAATGGTGTGATTTTATTTTAAGATACTGTAATGGACGATAGAAATAAAGATAAACTCTCAAACTATATCGAGAAATCGGAAAAGAAAGGACGAACGACAAGGGAATCGGTGATGCGTTGGGTCAGGCGAAAGTACGTTCGCTCGAATTCGTTCAAAAATGATTTTTATCAGTTGCTCATGCTCAAGAGCTGATTTTACCTACGCTAAAGAAGCTGAGAACTTTACAGATCAGCACAATGCCGAAGTCGAATGCGTAGCAACAGGCAGACATCAGGGCTTTGAGTGAAAGGGGATTCACACGACGAATTGCTTGCTGTATTACATATTATTGTTACAGTTATTCCAAGTAAAACTGAATTCGTATCAGATTTGGTGGTGAGAACGAAAATAAAGCCTCAAACCTGAATCTGATCCCTCACAGAGGGCACTTATTCGAGAAATTCTCACCTATCGCTGGCTTATCGCTTGTCATTGCCGCAGTGGTTGTTCTTGGGCTGCACTTAACCCGCTGAGTTTCCAAGTCTTTTGGAGATGAAGATAGCATTTTATGGGGGTTATAAAATGGAACGGAGTCTGGCGCTCATTGCCGGATTGACTCCTTGACATTGCACAGTGCAACGTCGTCAAACACGCCCTCGTAGCAAAAGAGCGCGAGACCACGGATATCGTAGGTTCAATCGCGCCGCGGTAAAGTCGTCATAGCGCGACCGTAGCCACCATTCGTGCCGGGACAAACACTTGAAAACGAGAGATCCTGACACGGCCTAAGGACTATTTGACTTGGTCCCCTTGAGTGTCGCCCATATTGTTCCCTTAAATCAAGTATTGAACCCTTGCTTGGCTGACTATCGAGACCACCCCCCCCCCCCCC